AAGTCACATTTGATCCACCGACATTTTAGATGCACATATTTTGCTTTGCTTTTTTCCATCTCTCACGCTCTTTCTCTAGCTTCTCTTCCATCCTCTGTCCGTCTAATTTCATAAACATTTCATTTAGTGTATTCTTTGTGGCTAAAAATGATTCCAGATTGCTTTCAGGAAGACCACAGAGCAAAGCAGGCAAGTGAAAAGCATGAATAATGGTTTGTCGTAACCTTCCAGGTGTATCCTAAAAAGATATCAGTGCTTGAGTTCCAAATACGTACACATAAAGTATATGTTTAGATTTCCTTCCTTGACGACAAAGATAACTAAGTTGCTGTTCTGACAAACTCTCTTTTCCTAATGCCAAATTAACCCCAAAACAGCTGTTGTAATATTGTGTCAGAAGAAGTACGGAAAAGCTTAACCATAACAAACCCCGTCTATCGTCCAAGCTGGCTCTCATCATGTGGACAAAGTCGAAAAACCACAATTGGAATGACGAAGCTGGAAGAGAGAGAGAGAGAGAGAGAGGATGTGGTTATAACTGGGACAGTTTTCTGGAGCTCAGAAAGTAACCGAGTCTGATACAACTTTATTGAAACATGAGAGATAACACGAGACCTCTGGAATCTGCAGCCAAAGGAGACAAAAACAGAGTTTGTTACTGATCTTCTGTTTTTGTTGGCCAGTTGTTTTCTCTCACGTAGAGGAATTTGTCAGTTTTCATTGTTGTACTCAAACTGTGTTACAGGGAATTTGGTGAGAGTGATGGGTGCGTTTTGAGGAGCCACCCTTAGCCGTTTTAATCGGAAATCTAATTACCTGTTTCATACTGTCCCATGTCAGCTGTGCAACATATCAAACAGTGGTATTGTATTTGATTTCATGTGAAAATCATCAGGGGGATTGGTGTTGAAGGTTCAGCGAGCCAAAGATTTTGAGGAAGCAGAAACATTGACACAGACCAGAGCACCAACCAAAGATTGTCCGCTACAAACTGGGTTCTGAACACGCTTGGCCCGTCACCTTTGCTTACTTGTGATTGCAATCTTGGATGGCACCTCGCTGAAACTGTCCACACTAACACGCTGTTTAATCTTTAGGTCTGTCTGACACTCACTATTTCACCGTAACACGTGAAAATGTTCTGCCAACAATGTGAGAGACTTTGAGTCCAATGCAACATTTTTTGTGAAAGCGATTGAGCCATCTGCCATATTTTGTCCAAAATATTTTTACAGAATTCCACCTTCAAAGAGAAAAGACTAAAAACAGAAACAAATCTGATTGAAACTGACATTTTTTTGTATTCAAAAACATGACATGAGAAATGATAGAGAACAGGCCAGGAATGTTATCTTTTATGATCTAACATCACTGTTCAATGAATAGCATGTTAACAATTCAGCAGTTAAAGATTTAACCACCACATTTTTAGAAAAAGCGGCTCAAATATCAGCTGCAGTGAACATTTTGTGTTTGGCTTCTGGCAGGTGTTCATTTCTTACTGTGCATACAGTATGTTAAATATATCCTGAAAATGTGTATCAGATAGGTCACGTCACGACATGAAAGCAGAATTCCAGTTAGTTTAATTTAATCTCCAGCTTGCCAAATGTACACACAGATAGCTTAAAACAAATTACAACAAACTGCCATGGCAGCTGTACAATCGTATCTTTTGCCCCCTCACACACCTAGGCTACACCTATAGAAAGACTTCTGGGTTTTTAAAACATGTGAGCCACGTGGACAAATTACATTGGTGATACTCATATGTTCATAATTAAGGTTTTATTTGGCTGTCACGTTATTTTCCTCCCCTCCTCCTCAGTGTCCCTTTTTTAAATCCGTTTGAAGTCTGTCTTTTCAAACCCGAATGTCAAGCCACACTGCAGATATCCACTCTGCCCTGTATTGTTGTCACACCCAATGACACGCTACAATTCGCGGATGAGAGCGTGACCCAGCGCTTTGTGTTCCCAACATTTTCTCACCCACTGATTCTAAAGAGCCGAAATCTTACACCTGAAACTAGAGACCTTTTGGCTTTCTTATTGAAGTTACAATAGCAGAGGGAGTCTCAGATTGAGTTTGGCTTTTGTGTTCCGACCTCTATCCATGAATATTTGGGTGTAACATTTCAAGCCTACTGTACTTTTTCTGTCTTTTAGTTGGAGGAAGTATGTTGTTTTTTCTTGCTCCATAATTTGATGCCTTCATTGCAGCAGTTTGCCAGAGTTTGAGATGTGTTTGACATCTCGTGTTTGAACAGTTACACACAGCTATTCACCTTCCAAGTTGTTTCAACAAGCTCACAGCTGTCAACTTCAGGGCTGCTTGAACATGATACATCATTTACATTATTTTTATGGATAATCGATGAATTGTTTGTATGTCAAATTAATTGTGAAAAAAGAACCACAACTTCTCCAAAACCTAAGTTGACATCTTTAAATTGCTAATTTTTGTTCAACCAAAACCCCAAAATATGCAATTTACTATGATACATAAAGCTGAGAAAACCAAAACAGTTCTCTCATTTGAGAAGCTGGAAATTCTTGTCAAGCATCACAACCTCTGCCCAGGTATCGCTGAAAATAATAATACACAAATTGTGCATTGTTAAATAAACATTAAATAAATACATTGTTGGTGTTTAGAAGTGCTAAGTGAGAGACAACTGGACTTACTTTAGTTCCTTAAAGACAAATAATCAGCTAATTATGTGTTTTGAACAGGGGGAGAATGTCTCCAAGAATCTAAAGGAAGTCCAGTTGTCTTTGGCTTCTAGATATACCGTAACCTGGAAGCCTTCACAGACAGTTGTTTCAGGACTTTTTTGTTTTTGTTGCTTTTTCTTCAGGAACTGTGCGTGAGATGGCCCACAAATCAGACAGCAAGTTGAAGTCCATCTCTACCACAAGACTCAACCCTCAGCACCATCTCTGGTATGCCCCAAACAGCCTCTATACACCTACGTTGTTGAGGAAAGCAACTATTGGATGCAGTGAGAAAACGGCAGACATCTTTTATTTGTTTATGCGCTGAAAGATGTGGTCTAAACATTGTTGTGCACATTTGTGTATGTGGTCGGGAGGTGTAAGTTAAGGGCGTTCTAACACTGCCCATTTCTGACACATCTTTAGTTGATTACAATCAGCTTTTTTAGACTTCTTTTTGTAAAACTGCACCACTAAATTAGCTGGTAAACCACATCTTAATTTGTAACATGTGTTGCGCAACAAACCCTGAAGCATTCATGTCATGTTGTGTCACCTCCAGTAGTTTTTCTAGCCCCTTTTTTTGTATGTTTTTCTCCCCAAAACAGAAGATAGTAGCTTTCTCCAGGTTCTCACTGGAAAGGAATGTGATTATCTCAACAAAAGTATTATTTCAGAGAAGAAAATGGTTTCGCACGAACAAGTGCAAAATGGGCAAAACGAAAAACCAAGCTGGGAGTAATCAAACATTTCAATTATACAGACATAGTGTACACGCCTTTGAAGCAGTTTGGACAATCTGGCAAACATGCTTCATCCAACTTTTGTTGGATTAGGAAATGAAAATGGTGCATTATGATGAAGAGTAGGTTAGCGTATCCAGGTCCTAACACACACTAATATCTCAAATCTCCAAGTTTTGCCCTTTGTCCTCTGGCAACAGACACCACAGCTCAATGAGCGAAAACAAATCAAAGCAGCCCCTTCATGTGCTGCGAGGGAGCAAACCACAGTCTCGGAACACACTTGGAGTGTTTTCGCCATCCAGATCCTGTCAGCTTTTATTATGTCAATTATCCCCTTAGCTTCACAGTTACTGTGACGGTGGAAGTGCTTCCATCTGAGACAGCGTGGGTAGCACCTGCCAGCCACCACAACACGGTGTTATCTTTATGAAAACCAATGGCCGTGCTTTCAACCACACAGCAGCCCGTGTAGGTGTGAAAGGAGATTTCTGTGCTAATATGTATTTGTGTAATATTCTTTGTTTCTTTTGATCTGTTAGGCCTCTAGTGTGTGAAGACATCCAGGCAGATGTGGAGGATGGCCAGCTGCAGTTTTTCTACATTCTGGCTTTTGTCCTGCAAGGTGATCCACTGCATCCCATTTTAGGTTTTAGGATGTATTCTTTGCCAAAAATCTCTCTCATATCGGTCGAGGGATCTGCTTTGGCCTGCGTTCTTCCATCTAACGGAGTCTCATTTTCTACATGGTTGCGAGAAAGATACGATTTCAAGACTCAACATGTCATGTATAATGATTTCTGAAGGTGCAAAGAGGAGTGCTGTTAATGCTAATTACTTCATGTGCTACCTTCCTATCCTCCTCCTTTCTGGATTAACCCTGGTGCTGTTGATGTATGAATGCAGCTAAAGACTTTTCTCATTTGTATTTAGGTCACTTAGCTTGCAGTCTGGAGAAAACGTACAATAAGCTACATCGTAAACATTCATTCTAACCAGCAGGAAGAAAGCCAAGCGTTAATGCCACAATAAAAGCCCTCATAATATTTGTGAAACCCTAGAAATATAATGAAGTGCCAGGAAAAAATGCTAAAAGAGAGACATAAGAACAAGATGGATACATGATTTTGTTTCCTTCAAGATAAAACCAAACAATGGCAGGAAGAAATGTGGAGGAAAGGATGTGATTTGTGGGGAGCAGCTGACGTGAGTCGCCTGTCGAAGATCCAAGTTAACAACGTTTTGCATAAAACGAAGCAGAAATCTGTTAAACTGGACTGAGTGACAGGCGACTGTATGGGTATGCATGCGGTTTTCGCACGTGTACCGGGTGCCACAGGATGCCTCGCTGTTTCTGCTTCAGCAGACACATTTAAAGCCAAGGTAGCTGCAGGCTACACACAGCGGTACACATCAGTGGAATTTCAAGTGCCATAATTTGAGCATGCCTAGATCTGCCTTCTCCCTCTAGCTCCACTGAAGACTTGAAGTACAATGCCTGAATTGATCTTTGCAGCAAAACAGTACTTGTACTGTAAAGCTGTGACCCATGAATGTTACTATCAGTGGCTAAAATCAATGCTTATGTTTCTTATCAAAACTTTATAAACCAAAAGGGCAAAGACAATTTATTAATAGTTATTAACTCAAAACCAGGATAAATGCATGAAACATCACACACCCAGTGCATCTTTGACTATTTACATAACATGAAACTGTTCATATTTTCCTCTCAGAGGATATTTGGACGCCCTTGACAGTCCTGTCAACTCGGGAAACCCTGTACCTGCTCAGAGAGGATCACCAGTGGAGGAAAAGCTTCAACAGTCTGACAGTGAATGAAAACAAAGAACCGAACAGCGGGAGTGTCACCATTTTAGAAACGCTGCCAATCAGCTGCGTGAGCTCAGTCCACCTTTGGCCTTCAGATCAGTGCAGGATGGATATTCAGCTTTATGATGAGGTGAGTACGCAGCCTCTGCTTCCAAGCGGTAAGCAGAAATTAGTATTTGCATATGAAGTCTGGTATTCTGTTGCCTCCGTTGCTGTTTGTGTCCTCCCATCATCTCCCTCTCTATTACTCCTCTCATGCCTTTGTCTTAGCTGTGAGCTCCTAAATAAAACAGTAAACAGGTAGTTACAGAGCCATGTTTGGTGTTAATTTTTCCCACATGGTCATTCACACATTAGGATTAGGGTTAGTTTGTTTACTTATCCCTGCAGAGAATTTCACTGAAATCTAACCCAATCAAGAAAAGAATCCAGGATGAGAGCTGTGTATGTAAATACAGCGTGTGCACTTAAGAACTTAAGTATGTTGACCAAAAGGCACATTTTTAATGATGGGATATCAGTTTTTATACATGCAAACACTCATTCAGCAGCTGCAGTCCGCTGCACTCTGCTGCAGTCTGTAGCGCGTGTTGTCAAGTTGAGTTTTCTCTGCAATTACTGCTTTCATTATCAGAGTTTCTTCATGTTGTGTTTTCTCCTGCAGACTGTGAAACAGGAGAAGACGTGGTGTGTGCGCTCAGAGAGCACGGAGCTCCTCCAGGGTCTGCTGGCCTGGGTCAGAGCACAGTGGGAGGCCATGTTCGGAGTAAAACTGCACACAAGCCTGCAAGACAAAGCAGAATAATGGGAATTGGGGGAGGGCATAAAAACGGGAAAAAAAAGTTCCAGACTCTCTGTGTGTGTGTGTGTGTGTGTGTGTGTGTGTGTGTTTGTGTGCTTCTGTGTGTTTTATTAGCATGAATCTGAGTGTTGGTACTGGGAGATGTTTGTCTTTATTTTCTCTCCACACAGTCTGCACTCAGTCTGGTCCCATTACGCTCGTTGCTTTCATTGTCTTTTAGGCAAAGAACGTTGAATTGATTGCACTCATTCATGTGGCACCACAAGCCTGTAAAAGCACCAGTTGCATCATTTTTCCCTCCAGATACCAAGGTTTACGTGCTCAAATGGAGTGTGCCTTGTTTCTTTTGCGGCTCCCATGTCTCGTGTTCAAACGCACTTTAATGCGTCTCATGGTGTTCTTCGAGCGCTGTAGCATGGAGCCAACGTGGAGCAGATTTGGGTTTGCGGAACAAAAAGAGCATTAAGTTGCAGAGAGGAAATTTTTTAAGACGGGTAATGCAAGGAGCTGAGCCTAAAATATTTCGCCCCCCCCCTCGTTAAGCTCGTCGGAGTCCTTTCTCACATCTTAGGGTGCAGTGGGTTGTGACATCACATGCTCAGCATAAGGCAGGGGGTGGGGCTCTGTAAGGCCAGGGGTCACCTCACACCTTCCCCCCCCCCCAATTAGGGTCTTATGATGTGTCTCTGCAGTGTGTCACATGAACGGAAAAGAATACCAGGAGTGCAAATCTGCAGAAATTGGGTAAACAGTGGCGGTTGTTTTCTTTAACACTTGGGAACAGATGTTTACTTTGTTTACTTTGTTGATTTGTAACCTGGGTCAAAGCTGTCATCATTTGATGTGTCTCATAACTCTTTCTGTTCACTGCTGCAGCCATGTGTATTGTGTATGTAGCCATCTGTACATTGATCAAACTGTTGATATAGATTAACCAGTATAACTTAATATATTTCCTTTGTTAGCATTTTTCATTATGGCTTCATGAAAAAAAAGTATTTTATTTTTATATAAAAAAGGAAAAGTACCTCTGATATACGATGTGTGTAATTGAATATAAAAGTAATGTGTACACTTGTGGCTTTCGTGTGGTTTTTCAGAAACGGATACTTTAATTTACACATTTATTTTCACAGATTGGAAGAAACTTTTCTTTCAGCAGGGGTGACGTAACTTCACTTGTTCCTGTAGCAAATTCCTCTCTATCTTTTCAGAAAGTTTCTTCAAACTTGGCAACAGTGTTTTTAATCTTGTGTAGCAATTATTCAAATTTGAAGTGGTAATTGTTTGAAAAAATGTAACACGGACATATGAAATGTTTGGCAAGCTAATTCCACCTCCGATCACAAGGATGCATTTCAACCGAAAGGCATCATTTCTGTCCGTATGAAAAGGGCTTTGTCATCCATTTCAACAACAAGTGTGTGTGATGTTCTGTAACAAAGTCTCTACATCTAAATTACTCTTAATCCCACTGGTGCCGTCATGATTCATACCACAGAAATGGAAGCCTTACGTGAAATGTAGCAGCTAAAGTTTCTACATATTTCCCTACAGGTCAATAAATAAGAGGAGAGAAGGCACCGGTTTCTTCATGACCTCGAATCTATTTACTTTCTTTGTCATCTGATTGACGTGTGTGTGTCTGATAATATAATATATAATTATAATTATAGATTGCATGACCTGAAATATTTTACCTGAAGAAACGTGTCATCTATTAGTCGGAATTACTCATGTCTGTACTTAGAAATGGGTGATGAATTGCAGTTGTCACTTTTTTTTTTTTTCTGGCAAGCATGCGTGAAGCTAATGGCGTCTGCCCCAACAGGTTGTAAGACTGTAATCAGAAAGGTGACTAAGTATTATCAGGAAATAATAAGATATTACCACATGTGTTGCTGCCATTTCTTCATTATTGGGTCAGCTTAATCACTACATCATTTATGGCTCCAGATCAAAGCAGCAACAGTGCAGGAATGCTTCAAATCTGCCGAAGTCATGGATGTTTGATTATTGGATCGAAAATATGGCCTTTTAGTAACATAGCATTCTCTTTTCTTTTTTTTGCCATTCGACGCAAAAATGCCAATCCTATCCCTCTAAGCGAGGCTCTGCTTGAGTCCGGGCTCAGCTGTGTAAAGGTATGTTAACCAATTTCACAGTGTAAATATTTCTTTAGCCACCAGTGCTGTACATGTGTTGCGCACATGCTTCCCAGAGAGACCTGGATCACCTTCAATTGTACCCACGTGGCTGACAAAGGCCGGAATTCCTAGAAGGAGCATGTTTACGCAGAAAGTGCGGCCTGGATTTAATGTTCTTCATAAAATAAACAACAGAACATTTTGTGGTTGGTTCTGTTTTTGTACTTTTGCAGAAGAAGGTCAAAGGTCAGGTGCAGGTGCAGAGCATCAACCTCGGAGCTGACGCCTTGCTCCAGAGGTTTGAACCCCTCCGCTTCCGATTTTAGGATTTCATTTGGCACATAAGTGAACAAAAAATATATTTAGTAGAAAAAAATAACAGAAAAAGCAGCATAATGCACAGCATGCACCTGCTGCTTTGATGGAGAGGGGTCGGTTTGTGGGAATAGATCAATTACTGTCCCAGTTTTGATTTTAAAACAAATAAAAATGCATTTTCCATCCAGTAATTATGTCTCAATCTCCTTTTCTTTAGATTACTGCTTCCTTTCTTTCTTTGGAGCAGGGGAGTGGTGCATTAAAGAAGTGTCTAAAAGAGGGTAATCACTCCCTAAATGTCTTGGGGATGAGGTTTTCAGACTTGGGAAAGTAACTCTCAGACACTTGTTTCATTTATTATATCTATATGTCATTATGTCTCTTTAGGGAAAAATAGGGATTAAAGAAGTGGCTAAAAAGGCTATTTTCCCCTAAAAGTCGTGTGAAACACTTGTTAAAATGAAAGTTAAAAAAGCAGATACGTAAAACTGAATTAATGGCGAAGTACATTGTGCATCATTAATTCTATTTTATGGATCTGATATAGCATCTGGGACCATTCCCCTTATTCCCCATATTATTAAGCCATGCATTTCAGATTTTTATTATCCTCCCCGATGTGTTAATTGTTCATTTTCTGTTGTATTTTCGTCCATCCTGCCAGGAATGAAATACTGAATCCTTTTGTTTTTGGCCTGAAATATGGTCAAATTAATGAGCCCAGAAACTCAGCCTCAAAAAATCCATGAGTCATAACGATTACGCACCATGAATTTATGTCGCAAAGTTTTATGTTGGAGGAGGAAATAAGCAATCGGGCCTGTTACTAAAACATAACCACAACATGTGTCGGTATGAAAAGGCTTTGCAGGTGGCCACAAAATCAAAAGTGCTCCATACAGGGGAGTCCAGCCCTCAATCAAGCAGTTAATATATTCCCTGCAGGGGGGTAGGGAGGAATGTCGAGCCCCAAGACATGCTCACCCAACCCCTATTCCTATTGTGTCCTAAACTGCATGATCCTAGTGTCCTTTCTTGGCCTCTGTCCAGCTATGGGGCCCTTGCTGTCACACCTTTCTGAACCACATTAATTCATTGGTGTTTAACATGGCTGCCAGTGGAAAGGAAAACGAAAGGCTTCCCTCTGACACCAAGACATGGATTATCTCTGTCCGTAGATGAGTGAGGATATAACGGTGCAGGTGAGTGAGTTCATGCCTCACTTGGTCCAGCTTTGAAGACCAGAGGAAAGCAGGGAGGATAGTTAGTGTGAGGAGAAGCTGGGATGCAGCCATGGCGACTTGGCCGGGCGCAGACATCTGGCTTGATTCGACTTCCCACAGCCTCCTCCAAACATTTTGGGTCCTCTGGTAAATCAGGAGCACTACAGCTGCACTGTGCATGACAGCAAGAAATCTGTTGTTTTGCTGAACGCTCGAGTCAACTAAATTCTTGGATGGTGGGCCTCCTCGTCTAAAAGCTGCAGTCACGCAGCGCTCTGTCAGGCCCGGTGAGCTGCCAAACCGTGGTCCAGGGGATAACAAGGGGTCCTCAGCAGAAAGAGGAATGATTCGATTATGGTGTTGTTGCACTCAGTGTACTTTTTAGCCTATAAACAAAACACATTCTGACAACATAAATCTTTAATTTAAACATCCAGATCAGTCACGTAGAGTTGCATCCAGCCTGGGAAACTCTGGAGGGGCTTTTGTAAAGTCTTAGAAAGTAACGTCACAGGGACGTCATCGGGTGTCAATCAACAGTCAACCTTTATTTGATACTCTGGTAGCTGCAGTTGTTCAGTCACAGCTATCTGTCTTCCTGGAGGGCCCTCCCGTCTCTGCCTCTGCCTGCTAAAAGTTGAAGGCTGAGTCTCGTGCAGCTTGATAACTTTTAACAAACTGGCAAACAAAATATCACCCTGCATTCTTCGCTGATAGACAGTATATCACAAGACAGTGCTCATAAACAATAAGGATTTTCAGATTGACCCACATTAAGGGCTAAAAGTCAGCATATCTCGCCGTCCGCTGCATCAATATTGACCATTATTTTACCTCTTTAAGTATGTGTTTGATATATGCACTCAAAGGCCAGTTTATAAGGCACATTTACTTCTAAAAGCAATGTTGTGCTCTTTTTACTCCGCTTCAGTTACTTTACCCTTACAATTTTTAAAACCCTTCCTGTCTAGTGAAAACCATGTGTCTCCAAAGTTGATGATTTTGAATATTTGTGATGAACTGCAGTATTTAGTGCTCCTTTCTGGTTTGGGGCAATTCTCCCACTTCTCAAGATAAACAAACTATTTCAAAAACCCTTGTGGATTAACTGGAAAATGTCACAAAGCTGAAAACAGGGCTGTATTTCTGAGCTTGTAAAAAAGTTGAGTTCTGAGTTATCCAGAGCAGTAAAATGCAACACACACATTAATGCAGCAGTAATAT